GAAAGCTAACGTAAACTGGAGAACAATATTTTAAATGAATATGTACACATTCATAAACCCTACTGTGAGAACATGCAATGTTTTTGTCCGTAAATAGGTTAAGCTAAAAGTTTACATTTCAACTTGTAAGCAACTTATGGAGCAACTTGATCCGTATGTGTCCTAAGCTTTATAATGGCTCACCTTTCACGAGGCAAAACCTCTTCCACGAGTTCAGTACAAAGGAAGTCGAGATATCTTGTTAAGTTCGGTAGTCAAAGTGAAAATTGAAAAACAAATAATGGCGAAGTTGCTATACGCCACGGTTGTTGATCCGCAATGTTGATCTTCGAGTTTTCTGCTCTGCATTTCTCTTAGGCGGCGATTCAATTTCACACCAAACACAAGTGGAATCCTTAAAAAAAGAAAAGGATGACGTCCATCAGAAGCAATTTGGATGAATTGTTCGCTGCCACAGGTCACAGTTCCGTTTTGTTCTGATCTGACGTACGAAAATGCCGCAGTCAGTTTCGCAACCAAGCGTGAAGGAACTAGTAACCATGGTCGCTGGTACCCCTCCCTCCTCTCTCACGACGATCACGAAGAAGTAGATAATTCGTCGTACAATAACGACCATGTTGCTATTATTTTTTTTCTTATCAAATTTGAAAAAAATAACTCTCAGACTCGTTACCTCACAACAAATTGATTGAGGTAAGAAAAACAAACCCAAAGGTTGAAGGGAAGGGGGAGGGGGGGGGATAGGCGCTAGGAGGGGTTGGAGGAAGGGATGGATAGAATAGAGCTAAAAAAAGGAGGGGAAACGAAGTAAGAAGAACAAGGATGATGAGGTAAAGAGGGTGGGTGAATGGGAGAAAGCTTTACAGAAAGGGGCCAGATAGGGTGGGAGATGGAGCCAGAAAAGAGATAGCAGGATTAAGAATGGGAGAGAGCTAAAGGAGGCGGTGCAAAAGAGAGTAAAGAAAAGGAAAAGGGAGCAAGGAAAATGGTGAGAGGACATAGATTACGAATGCAGAGGAGTTAGGGGGAAAACAAGATTGGTAGCTCGGGAGAGAAGACTTGGAGGCCGGTCATTATTCAACCTCCTAAGAAGGAAGGGGTGGGGAAGAATTTTGGCTGTGTCACGATAAATTTACCTGACCCCTAAGGCTCTGTAATATTCTTATGTTCCCCCTTGACCCTCAGGGCAGTTAATCGGCCGTCAATTTTCTTTGTTCCCCTTTTATACTCTGTTTGCTTCGACTAATCCCCCATCACTTCTTTCTGAAAACTATGTGATTCCCCCCAGTTCCTCCACACACCCATCCCTCCCACGAGGAGATAAATAATGACTGGTGCCGTAATTTCGCTTCCTTCACCCGGGCACAGTGAAGTGACTACCCCTTCGCAACTTTTTAGACACATAGGTGAACGAATAATCTATTTACCATATAAACTTTTTGCAGCAAGGGAACTTTGATCAATAATAGAGATTCTCTCTGCTGCGCCCCGTTTCTCCTTCGGTTAGTACTGCAGGACATGACACCTTTTCATTCTGTTTGATATTGCAGCATCATAAAAACGAAAGCTGGATGGAGTCAAATACCAATTTCTCTGGCAGAAAAAAACCGGAAGTTAAGTTTCTTTCGAAAACCTTTCCACTTAACAAATCGCCAGTGGTTTAGCGTGGTGTATACTCTTATCGACAACGATATTCGTCATCACAGTGGTCAAAATTTATTCCTGACCTACTCGGTTGAGCCTCACTAAACCACTTTCGTTTTGTTTTTACAACAATATTATTTACGTCAAATAAAACGACTCTTTCAGTGCGTGACCAAGATCTTGACACATTGACGCGAGAAGCGTTGTCTTTACTGTTAATTGGCCAATCAGATTGCGACATTACTGCCAATTGTGGTACATCTGATTGAGTACATGTCTGTCTACAACTGCACATTAATATCTTTGAATGTGTGAGGTCAAGCTAAACTTAAACGATTGTCAGAAATCTAGTATGTCAAATATGTCTTCGGGCATCGCGTGTAATTGGTCAATGTTTAAAATAGCATTTCAATCAAAAGAAAACTTTTTGAGGCGATTTTTAATACGTGAAGCTAAAGCCATGGTTTCTAGCCCTTAATCATGGATGATAACACTTTTAGTGACATGACGATCTTCATAAAAAGGTTCCGTGCTCTGTGTGTGTGACCTCATTTACTGAACCAAAACAGCTACCATTTTAGCACAACTTCTGCTCTCATTATTTAGAGGGAATTCAAAAGACGAGTGGCCGCCAAAGAGGAGGAAGAAGAGCAGGTAGCTTAAGGGAGAGGAAAAGGAATGGTGAAGGATTGGAGAAAAAAAGATCCGCACCAAGCAACGTTTGTTTATGCTTAATATCTTTTTATTTTTGATAGTTAATGTACCTAGTAAACCTTAAGAGGGGAAATTAAATGAACATCTAGAGATACGTTTAACAAACCGATAATCGTATTTTTGTATCAGAGCTATTTGATACTGCTCGACTGCTATTACTCAATTGAATCCTAATGAATCAGCGAAGCCAGAGCGATTGAAAATTGAATACAGGAACTGAAAATGCATAAGTGAGGTCAAGTAAACCTTCAAGACGACTAAGTGCCTCATAATTGCTGGCTGAAATTCCATAGGAGACAAAAATTTTGAAATTGGACATAGTAAATAGAACATTGGCAAACTGATTCCGGCCCTTAAGCAGGAGTTCGTCTTTCTTGCGTATCCTGCTGAACTTTGTAACTTTTGTTTAATGATTTTATATTAATGATTGCAATTGGGAATCATCTTAAGCTGGAAAGTTGTCAATAAACGTTTCTGTGATTCTTTTCCTACAATTTCAGTGTTTGATGACTGATTAACGACTAATATATTTCAAATGATTGCACAACCGCCGTACAAACTCCATGAAGAAGTTACTTAGTCACACTAAATAGCAATATTAATGAAATCCGAAGTAGTATTTCACGCCTGGTTTTTATTGATTAGAATCATTGAGCGGCTTGTTGTTATTCACCCATGCATAATGACTGAAATCTACTCTTGTCACGTTGAAGATTAAAGAGAGATGGTTCATCCGATATAAATATAACCAGAATTCGTAAATGTAGTGTGCACTGTTACGTTATATTAACACGTTTTTGCGTCACATTAATCGACAAAAATGTCAACAACGATTTAAGCCCTATCCTAAAGAATTAGAAAATAAGATACTGAATTACATTTTTGTTGTATAGATTTGAATATGAGCAGTCCCTCCTTCTCAGCGAGGTCCGTCGCGCGAGTGAAAAAGTTGTCAGTGAAAAAAAAAAGTGATGTTAGGGCGCCTCGGTGAGCTCTAAGAGTGAGGCGCTCGAGAAGTTCAAGATCTTTCACGCGACAGACCGCCAAAAGGAGGGACTCGTAGTCAAATTCATATAACGAAAATGTAATTCGGCAGCTTATTTCCTAAATCAAAAAGTAATATCTGTTAATGTAAGTAAGTGATAAACAAAATCAATAATGATCGAAACAATTAATTCCGTGGCAAGAGGGACCAACTTTACACCGCATCCTTTACACCGCATCAAATCACTCGAAACACAAAGAACCAAAGGAAAGTGCATTTAGTTTATATATCTAACTGTCATGAAGAATTATAATTATTTTGGGGATCAAATGTAAAAAATTTGTGTATCAAAGGAATATTTCCCTCGAACCGATTTGAATAAAGGCTAGACCGACGACAGCAAATTACGGCAAACGTAAGTACGGAAGTAGTGTTTCACACTTGCCAGGACTAACGGAAAGTTCTTGTAGCGCACCGCCAAACTTTCGTAATGCATCATGCCCTGTTTCAAAAACTGATCGATAGCTTGTGTAGTTAGCGTTTTAGTTTGCACTTTCAAACGTTAAGCTGTGAGACTGCAGGAAGTTTCACATAGTAAATTAGTGAAGAAAAACGGAAAAAAAATCTTTTTTACAAACATCAATGAATAATAAACAGATCCCATTTTGTTTGCTCTTTCTCCACTAGGTGTGGACGAAAACCGGAAGTTTGGGCCACTTTTCCCAAGAGTTTTCGACAGATTTTCAGGTTCCACCGTTTAAAACTTAAAACGCTTCCTTAAAAACAGGACTTGTGTGATAATTGATGGATTTCATTGGAATCGATAAATTATTAGATGAAGGTAAACGAGTCCTTCTCGTTTTATTTTTTAGCTCCACGAAAATGAAAGCAAGATAGAGTCTAACACAAATTTCTCTCTCTGTAAAAAAGGACGGGTTACGGTCTCTTTCCAAGGCCGGTTCCAATAAACCCATTCTACGCACAACTTTTAGAAATAAAGATCTGACCTGAGAACAAATGGCAACCATCTTTAGAATCACGCTCTTCTTAAACACGTTCAATGGAAGTGAGCAATTGGTCGAGACCATTCCAAAGGTCAGCCACTCTTCCGAAAATGTCCATCATCTGATTAAAAACATGTCTGTCCACAACTACACAATATGCCTTTGAATGCGTGAGTTAAAGGAAGACTTACACGATTCTCAGAAATCTTGCATGTTGAAATGCCAGGGAGAGCTCTCATGTAATTGGTCAATATTAATAGCATTTCAAAGGTGTGACTACTTCGCAATTTGTTTTTCGCGTGTTTTGTACGTGAAGCGATGGCCTTATCAAGCCTTTAATCATGGATATCAAAACGTTGCTTGCCAATCTTCACGAAGAAGTATCCTGTTCTGTGTGTATGGTAACATTTACCGAACCAAAACAGCTACCATGTTTGCACAGCTTTTGCCTGCATTGTTTAGAGGGAATTCAAAGGACGAGTGGCCGCCATGATGTCATAACATGTCCTGAGTGTCGAAGAGAGAGTCAAGTCCCTGGAGGAAAACTCAAAGATCTGCCCACCAACTTTCGCATCAACAGCTTACTAGATGTGTTGGCCATAAGGGAGTGCAACTCTACTGGAGTCAAATGCGGAAACTGCGACAAACGAAGAGTAGAAAGTTTCTACTGTTTTCAGTGCTACTCGTTCTGGTGTGACGAGTGTATTACAGGCCACAATATTATCCGAGCAAATAAAGAACACCGAGTTCTCGCGCTTAAAGATTTTGAAGATCAAGACATCGAGGTTGTCTTAAAACGACCAGCATTTTGTTCACGACCGGGCCACGAAAAGAAAGAACTGGAATTCTTCTGTAAGAAATGTCAAGAAACCGTTTGCAGTTCATGCGTTGTGACCGCTCACGATGGACATGTTAAGGTACTCCTAGAAGAAGCGGCAAATGAAAAGAAATCGCAAGTCATGTCCGCGATTGAGTCCAGAAAAGCAAATGTGCAAAAGATGAGAAACAAAATATCTAAAATTGATGAGGCCTGTCATAACATCGAAGCAAACGTCGCAAAAGTAAAAAGAAGCGCGCAACAGTTTGCTGAAAGCATGATTACTGTCATCGAAGCCAAGAAACAGCAAATCTTTTCTGAAGCGGATCATGAGGCGCAACAATCTCTGCAACGTTTGCGAGCACAAAGGATCGACATTGAAAACAAGGTCAAAAACATCGAAACAGCAGTAGGAAAATCTGAAACACTAATAAAACGAAGCACAAACGCAGAGCTTGCACAGATAGATAAAACACTGAGCACAATAATCCCGAAAGAAGTCGATGATGAGCGAGAAGAAGAGGACTGTGACCTTGAAGGACTACGTCAATTTATTTTCGAGGAAAACGAATCCTTAAAGAAAAGAACGAACGATGAAGGAATCGGCTGTATTCGTACGTTTTCCAACAAGACCAAAGTGGATCAGTCGATTGCTGAGGGAAAAGGACTCACGGAAGCGATTGTTGGAATTCAAGCGAACTTTGTTCTCACAACAAGAAATGCTGAAGGACAACAATGCTACGAAAAGCGTGACCGAGTAACAGCAGAAATAAAAAATCACCAAGGCCATGACTGTGCAGCAGAAGTTCGAGTCCAAAATAAGAAAGATGGAAGCTACAAGATCAGCTATTTTGCCAAAGAAAGTGGAAGACTCAAGGCGGTAGTCAAAGTGAATGAAGAACAAGTTCGAGGCAGTCCATTTCCGGTTCAAGTGAAACCCAGACAGTTCAGACCCGTGCTATCTTTTGGCCAACAAGGTTCGCCTACTGGAATGTTAAGGTCACCCTGGGGAGTGGCAGTGAATGAACGCGATGAAATTACAGTGACTGAACGCGGTAAAGACAGGGTTCAAGTTTTCAGTAGTGATGGAACTTACTTACGGTCGTTTGGTAGAGAGGGTGATAAACAGGGAGAGTTTGATAACCCAGCCGGGATAACACTACATGAGACCAAGAACATTATAGTCGTGGACACCCGTAACCACCGTATTCAATACTTCAATGAGCAGGGTGAGTACCTGAAACAGTTTGGTTGTAAAGGGAATCTTGATCACCAGCTGTCTAATCCCCTTGGTTTATTTGTATGTAGTAAAGGCAATATTATTGTTGCTGATAGCCATAACAAATCAATTAAGATCTTTTCTTCTGACGGCCATTATTTGAGTAAATTCGGGGGTGAGGGTTTTTTTACCTTTCCTTTTCACTGCATACAGTATGACAAATATCTGATAGTGTCAGACAATGAAGAACATTGTATCAAAGTGTTTGATAAAAATGGTTATTTTTTATACAAATTTGGAAAGAAGGGGAAGAGGGACGGGGAGTTCAATAAACCTTATTGTTTGTCAGTTAACAAGGCAGGACACCTGATGGTTTGTGATGCACATAATCACAGAGTTCAGGTATTTGAGCTGAGCGGAAAGTTTATAACAAAATTTGGATCAAAAGGAAAGAGTACAGGAGAGTTTAATATCCCTATCTCTTCTGCAGTGCTTAGTGATGGTCGAATAGTTGTGTCTGACTTTTACAACCATCGCATTCAGATATTTGAATAGATATCACATCACTATGCCTTACCAGATTTGAATTTATTTTTTCAAACCTTTAAACATGAAACTGCTTTTGACAGGCGATTTATATTTTATGTAAGAATCTTCTGAATGGTCACTGAAACTACAACACTACCTATTACACCATGAATTTCAGAGATTGTGCAGTAAACTAACTGTCATCTGTCAGTCAGCCTATTTAATAACCTCTATTAGGTCAATAATTAAATTGGTTACAAAACTTCTGTTTGATAGTAAGTTGATTACGAATAAAAGGCTACAAAATTCAGTTCTACTTCCTCATTAATCACACTGAGGGGTTCAGTTTCAATTAATTCTACATCCAAGATAAAGATCTTGTTACACCTATAATTATTTCCTTAAATATTTCCAACACTAAGCTGAGTTGGGAGCCTATTCCCGGGTTGAACCAGTGGAGCAAATGATCTGTTTTATGACAATAGTAGTAAATTCTGTAGTTACTTAATTAACAATGTCATGTAAAATTGTAAATAATCAAACGGTAGAAATGTGTCATTAAATTTTTTGTGATTGTATTTTCAAATTTGCTGTTTAGTAATTGCTTGACAAAAACAAATAAGAGTGATTTGTAACTTTCTGACTGATCTATGACCAATTTATTCAGGGAGGTTGCAAATCCACCACATTTATTATAAAGGAAAGCTAAGATAATAAAATAACCTCAATGAATTTTTAAGATTTGAGGTAATTTTCCATCGTTCCATCTTTTAGGATTTTGGGTAAATTTCTGCCATCCCACCATTCTGTCATTCCATCCTTCAAAATTACAAGTTGACCCACCAGAATGTTTACTAAAAGTCAGCCATATGGCAATTTCTAAACAATATGCACTTGCCGCTGCACAAAAGCATCCTTGCAAAAACAGAACTTGAAGATAACATGTCATCCTCACATGTGAAAATATCACTGTTGCCATAATTACATATAAAAATTGCACCTTTCATTGTAATTCATTGTATGGATATTTCATTGGTGTTGATAATTAATAAATTGAATACTACACATGGCTACTTGGAGAAACAAACTTTCTCTTCTTGTGTAGAAAAATATCTCAACACTCAAAGAGAAATTTCATAACTCTGCATTGCCATGTAATATCTTTTACATATCATAACTAGTGAATTTTCCACAGCCCTCACAAACAGTTTCAAGAAAAATGCAAGATCCTCCATAGGTAATGGATTTCCACCACTGAATACATAAACCAAGAGGCTCACCCTAAGTAGCTGTGTCTTTCACAAATAGGAAAATTCGCCTACCTGCGCTTGTAGCTTTCTGAGGAGCCTCAACCCATAAGTTAGGTGAACCCCTGTTCAGGACTTTCTGTTTATCAGGCTGAGCTGAAGTGAAAAAAAAACAGTGTCATTGAGTTTCCAGTGGCCTCTTTCCTTGATGTAAATGAAATAATAAGAATCACTTTTAGTAAGCCAGGTCACAAGCCAATTTTTTTGTTGTTGGGTTTTTCTTAACCCTTTAAATCCCAAGATCTGATAGTCAATTCTACCCTCTAGCTACAAGACGTTTCCCTGTAAGTTAGTTATGAGAATTTGATGTTAGATCAAGATAACAACCTTACTAGATAAGTGTGAATATTCTCTGTCATTACCTGCTTACTAGATAAGGTAAGGATATTATACATGTACGGATAAGTTTCATGTTGATCACTTCTGGGAGTTAAAGGGTTAATTCTTTCCATTCTAAGAGTAAGCATGGAGAGGAGAGATCCTTGTAAGGAGGTTGAGCTCTCAGATTCCAGCTGTCAGTCAAGGGATTAAGGCTGTTGTAAGGACAAATCCTGTTTTGCTCACTGATGGAGTTTAATTTCCTCACTGATACAATTACCTATTTCTGTTAGCTATAGTTCTGATTCCTAATGACTGGTGCTTAATCCAAAACTATCCTGTCTTCACAATTTTCAGCAACTTATCACCTGTCTCTTGTACTAACCACCCCTAGCAGTGAAAGGGTTAATAGACTTTTGCTCAAAAGCATTTTTTAAAGTTTAGTTTGTGCAATGATTCATTTGTGTTAAATTACTCTGGCCCAAACACATCCAAATACACAAACAAGGTACTTAAATTGAAACTTAATTTATGGTCTTCACTTCACCTTCTCAGCAGTAGCTCACATTGATTTTTGCATCAAAACTTTAGGTTCATGTGACAGTTAAATTAAAAGATAAAGAAGACTATCAACTACACTGTCATGTAACTTAAATATTTCCTAACAAGGCTGCAAAACTAATTTGCCAGTTTAAGGCACATACTCTGCTAGACCTGCCATTTTATACAATATCAAAAAAAAAAAAGTCATTGATGGAATTGTATTTAGCAAACAAAAAAAATCTCAAAAAATTTTAAAGCCAGGTTGTGAATTTTATACATTCTCTTGGTCACAATTACAATGACAAATTAACAGATAAGTTAACTCACGTGTACCTTTATTCTCCTCTGAAATAGAATATGATTGAATTAAATATAATTAATTATTATAATCCAACTACACTAAATAGAGTACAAAGAACACACAGACAAAGTAAAAAATATGTATTGCACAATCATTGGACAGTTACTACCCAACCTGTTTGACAGGTTTTGTCATTGCTTGCAAGGGTCTATTTGCATTCTGTTTTGCAGCATCTTCCACTTTATAAAAAAATGCATAAAAAAGTAGTTGGATAATGAATAACCTATTGATGATTTGGTGTAGCTTTGCTGAGTATTTTTACTAGTTATTTGTATTTTAATAAGCCCACATGGCTTGTCAAAATATGGCACAACTCATAACATCTAGATAAACAATAGCCTCCATTTAGCACAAATACATATTCAACAAATATTTATTTGACTGTCTGCCCTTAACAACTGAGAACTTAATCAACAAATCCAACTAGGTACCCCAGATTATCTCTCCCCAACATATTGTTGGTAACCCTGTTCATGGGATCATGGAAACCAGTGTAGTCCCCAAAGAAAAATTGGAAGTTATCAGAACAATTCTCCATGCTCAAAAATGTTACTGATATTAAATGGCATATGCAAGAAATGTTTGCATATATTACTGGATAATTTTTTTTGCATTTGTTTTTCATACTTTGTCCTTTTAGGAAAATTAGTTGATTATCTTCTGTACATTCTTTGGTTAATCAATTGTTTTTCAAATATATCTTGTGAAACTGCAAGTATATTAAAGTTGCCAAGACACCTTATCCAAATAAGGCTTTAAGTGTCCCTGTCTGAGAAAGTGTTCCAGGGGCCAGAAGTAATGGTCAACCAATTTGGCTGAAAATTGGCACAAAAGTTGGGTGTGATAAGATATTTCAAAGGCCATTTTGGTTCACTTCTTTGACTGTTTGCTCTGGAGTTTCAGGGGGGTCCCATTTGTGGCCTGTGGAGCACCAAATTTAATCCTTCTAGATGGCATTTTGAAAGTGCTATGAAACTCCATTGGTAAATTGTACTGCCAAGTGAATTTGACCATGGACTCTACTTTTTCAAGTGATTAGACAGAGGGGCTTGGGGCTTAAGTTAGGTCAAATTTGAGGTCAAAATCACTACCCAAAATTTCCATTTTTCAAAAAACCTTTACATTCACCTGCATTCTTGCATAACTTTCCTTCCAAATGCAGTATGTACTTTTGTGAATCATTTATCAAAATCAGTTGAGAAAAATTTGGCTTATTGAGGTTTGTTCGTTTTTGACACAAACTCTCCATCCCCCTCTAAGGGCAAGCAAAATGGAATTTTGAGCATAATTCATGCTATAAACAGACCAAACTCTTAACATAAAGCTTTTATTTTGTATTTGGCGAGTGAACGCGAAACATTAAAGCCAAATCAGTGTCATTTTTTAGAAATACCTAGACTCATAGCTTACAAATGCTCAAGAAGGCCTCTGATTAGCACCACAAACACCCAGCGGTTTAGCAAAATAAAGGTATCTTTTTTCCTATGAAAACCTTGTACCCATCATAGAGCATAAATGATGATGTTCTTGCCCAGATATGAAAATATTTTTCAAAGATGCTTGAATTTTACATACATACATACATACATACATACTTTATTTGTCACGTAGGTCGATAAATGGCAGCTAAAAAGCTGATGTGGACCTACAAAACTAAAGAGTGTCTACAAAATTTAAATAATAACAATAACAAGTTGCGAAATTATGGTAAGTAAGAAAGGATGTAAGACCTAGTAAGATAATATACAGTTGATTTACAGTAGTAATAAAAAGTAATAAAATAAATAAAAGTAGTAAAATAGCTTTAATATATGTAATTTACAACGTCTTTATTTATGTTTGTTAGGCCATATTTCCATATATATTTTACTTCAAGCATGCTAAGTCTCTATATTTTGTCCAGCCGTTTTTTAATTGAAAATAAAGTGACTTTACAATAAAACGATCGTTAGAAGATGATCTACGTCTGACCTTAGAATAAGCTGAATAGCTCTTGCAAATACCCATCACTAAGCGAGCATGACCATGCATACATAGCTTATGTGCCGAAGTGAGCACCGTCCAGGTGACTTGTGATTCATCAGAGATCTTAGGTACTTTAGAACTGAATAAATGGAACCATCCAACAAAGAGGGAATCCACATTCAGAAGAGCTGGATGGAAGAAAATTACTGTTGCTGTTTAAATGAAATATTCCACACGAGACACGATACTATGTCAATCGGGAGTTACTACATCACGGGCAACGAGTGGGGGATGAAAAAAAGACCGAAATACGAGTGGCCAGCGGGGAAATAAATTTAGTACTTCATATAGAGACATATACAATACAATACAATATTTATTTGCCATATACGACATTTACACATGGAAAAAAAAAATGAAGAAAATTGATGACAGAAAATAAATGGCGAGAAAACCTGAAAGAAACCACGAGGTTATAACAAGTCAGGCTTTCTCACTTAAAATAACTAATCTTATATTAGAATTACAATATGGACTTATGGTAATTAACTTTGACCGCGCACACGTACACACACACACACGCACACACATATTAAGTAAGTTAGTTAAGAATTACTGCCTTACAGAAGCTAATACTTAGAGAGAAGAAATTCCTTAAGCTTTCTTTTAAAAGAAGCGGAGGAGGGAGAACTAGTTATGTCAGAATTTAACGAATTATAAAAGTTTGCAAATACCCATCACTAAGCGAGCATGACCATGCATACATAGCTTATGTGCCGAAGTGAGCACCGTCACAGGTGCTTACCAATACTTGGCTGTGTAGCCGCGCGATGCGGTTCCAGTCGAGGCCCACAAAATTGACCCTCGCTCACCATAGAGTCTCCAGTAGCTCAGTGGTTAGAGCATCCGACTAGATCACGGAGGGTCGTGGGTTCAAGTCCCATCTGGGGCTCGGATTTTTTCTATTAAAAAATTGTTTCATCTTTATAAAAGTTTGGACCTTGAAAGTAAATTGAAAACTTCCTGGTGTTCGTTCTGCACAGTGGCAAACGGAAGGACTGAGCATTCCTAGTATTATAATTGTGGATTTGACTATTCAGTAAAAAAAAGTTATTGAATTTGGAAGGGAGTGTAGAGTTCTCGAATGAAAACATAAAAGTACCTAATTGAAACGAATGGATATCATGAAATTTTAAGAGTTTAAGTTCCTTTAAAATAGGGCCAGTATGGGCAATGTATGTAGAATTGCTTACTATTCTTAACGCACGTTTCTGTAAGGTTACAATTCTTTGAAGGTTTGACTTATAGGTACCAGCCCAAGCTAAATTGCAATAATACAAATATGGAAGGATCATAGAATTGTATAAAGTACTAAGGGAGTGAGTAGAGAGAAAAAACCTAGATTTATGAATAATACCTATAGATTTGGATAATTTATTTGCTGTTAAGGATATATGCGATTTCCAGGTCAAATTGTCATCTAATAAAACACCCAAAAACATGGTCTCAGAAACACGAAGAATAAGCTGCTCATTTATGAAAACTTGAAATTCAAAGGATTGCTTCTTTTGCCAAGGCTTGAATACCATAAAATTAGTCTTGGCTAAATTCAAGGAGAGCCGGTTTGCTGTAAACCAGGTTGACAATTTGTTTAATTCTCTATTTAATGTGTTAATTAGGTAAACAGGGTCATTATGGGAGATAAATAAGTTTGTATCATCAGCAAACAAGATTGCATCAAGCAGGGAAGCATTGTTCAAATCATTAACATACAGGATAAAAAATAAGGGACCAAGAATAGAACCTTGAGGCACCCCACAGGGAATCCCCTGTGGGGCAGATCTAACGTTATTAAATTCGACAAATTGTGTCCTCTCAGAAAGATAACTTTTGACCCATTCTAGTGCCAGATATCATATAACATATCCTAACATATCAGTTATAGTTGCCGAAAAGCCGAAATATCAACAGTATACTTGACTAAATAAAATGTTAATTATTTTAACGCCTGGATCTTCTGAAAAAAGGTCTCCTAAACGAGTGGCTCTGATCATAAATATTTAAGCATGGTAAACACATTAGCCTTAACTTGGCTGTTTCTCGAAGCTCAGTGTTTTCTTACATGCCTTTTTCACGTGAAACGAGGCGATTGAATATATATATAATAAACACTAAAAGAACTACAGCTGATGGAAATTTAAAATTTCTTATCTAAAGGCTGTGGAAACAAACTTATTAATGACTCTAAAAATATAGAAATCTAGAACGAAATTTTTTTAGAGTTGCTTAGCTTTTCATTTTTCCGGAATCGAAAGTCGAGATTGCAAAATTCAAGTGAAAAGCAAACCGACTGTGATTTACGCCTTAAACATGTCAAGATTTTTTTTTCTGTTATGCAGCAAGTTACATATCGTAAATATCATTATTCTTGGTGCCTCTCCTAGTGTCACCGATGCCTTTCCCGATGCCTCCGTTGGTTAATATAGCAATAAAAATATTGTTTCAGTCAAAGCGTTTGGAAAATTGCTAAACTTTTGAATTAGCGAAGTATAACCTGGTAACATTTTGGCTTTACAACACGATTGTTTTTTGCAAGTTACAAAACGTAAATATAATTCTTCTTGGTGCCTTTCCGAATGCCACCGATACTTTTCCCCATACCTCCATTGTTTAATACAGCAGTAAAAGATATATTTGACATCAACACTTTTGAAAAATTGCTTCACATTTTATTTAGCGAGGTATACTGTTAACATTTTGGCTTTACAACTCTATTGTTTCTGCAACTACAACTGATATGTCTCCATATGAAGTATTAAATTTGTTTCCCCGCTGACCACTCGTATATCGGTCATTTCTTCATCCCCCGCTCGTCGCCCGTGATGTAGTAACTCCCATGTCGGGAAATCAGGCCTGCCATTTTGGACGTGAGAATATTGGGACTGGACCGAGTTTCCATTCCTCCCCCTCTATCCAAGCATAAATATTTGTGTCCCTAGCAAGTAGTAAAAGTGTAGAGATCAGAAGTTTCTGGATAATTTTACGATGGCGCTTTGTTCCTTCGGAGGGGTAAATGATCAGTGCGGTGCCGCGTCATGGGCTCTGCACGAAACACGAATGACTCCTTTGTTGTCTTGCGATAATGACATGACTTCTTGGTTAAAACACAAGTACAAGGGGTCAGGTGTGTCCGGGACGAGAGGAAAACCGAGTGATACCAAAGCTACAAGTACAGGTAATTCAAAATATCAGAAAGGGCTTATATACGCGCATAAATGTGGCAAATGGCTTTCACGATTTAGAGTCATCGTCTTCAAAATTCAGGTTTCCTTTACTTGCCTGTTTCATCGACGACATGTGAACTTGAAAAGTCTTTGCAAAATTTCTGCATTGCAACTTTTGGATGAAATTGAAATGTTTAAAAACCTTACCTCCGCGCCGATTGCTAGTTGTTATCTGAAACTTGATTAATACACTTGTTGGATATAAAAAATATAGGTCGACCGTGATAGAAATAAAAAATTTTAAGAGAGCATTATGACTTTGCAATGATGCCAGCGGTTGAAAATGGGCTTCGTAATGTCGTCTAAAAATCGAATTTCGTTTGCAATATCGGATTTAAAACGGTAAAAACGAACGATAAAATCCGACGTTTCGGAGTAGTCATGACTCCATTATCAAGGTAAAAGTTTAAAACATGCAAATAACAGTATTTAAGCGATGTGGCGCGAAAAATTAACATAATAGCTGCGAAGATTATACAAATACTTTCGCACGAATAGAGTCCGATTGCACGTTCAGGTTTGGCTTTAAAGTTCTTATATGAAGCATTTCGTACAATAAGCAGTCAAATTTGTTCCTGCACTTCTTAAGAACTTCGAACTTCGAAGTAACCCGCGTTACTCAAAACTCAGTGTTGCGTGACTCCTAGACTTGGTCCAGTCCTCTCAATCTCACGCTCAATATGGTATGTTTCATATAAACTGCAACACAAAATATTTGTTATCCAGCTCTCCTTACTGTGGATTTCTTATTTACTGCCGAATGATTTGATTTATTCAGTTCTAACGTACCACGGAAATCGGATGGATCACAAGTCCGCTGGCCCCGGTTGTTCGAAGGTTGGATAGCGCTATCTACTGGATAGAGCTCTATCCGGTGGATAACGCTATACGATTTGCCATCTCTTATCCGCCGGGTAGCGATTTATCCGTTGGATAGTGTTATCCGCTTTTAATACAACTGGGCCCTGGACGCTATCAACTACAACTTGTATGTATCATCCTGCTCTTTTACTGATGCAATCATGATTATTTACAAGAGCTAGCTCGGCTATCAAAAGTTTAGCCATAGATCTTCGGTTAACGGTCGTTTTCGTTAAGCTCACTTCATCTTGCATTAAAAAATGGGCCTGATAAAATATAGAGATTTTGCATGCTTGGGAGTAAAGTGTGTATAGAAATATGACCTGAAAAATGTAAATCAGAGGAAATTCAAGCATCTCTAAAAAAGATTGTCATATCTAGGTGAGAACACCATCATTTGGCTCTATGATGGGTTCTGGGTTTTCAAAGAAAAAAATACCTTTCGCTAAACCGCTGGGATTTTTGTAGAGGCCTTCTTAGAGCATTTGTAGGCTATGAGTTGAGGTATTTCTAAATAATGACACTGATTTGGCTTTAATGTTTCATTTTCACTCACCAAATACAAAATAAAGGCTTTATGTCAAGAATCTGGTCTGTTTATAGCATGAATTATGCTCAAATTCCATTTTGCTTGGCCATAGAGGGGCATGAGGAGTTTGTGCCAAAAAAACTAACAAAACCTTAATGAGCCAAATTTTTCTCAACTGAGTTTGATAAATGGGTCACTAAAGTGAAAATTGGATTTAGTACGAAAGTTATGCAAGAAGGCAGGTGAATGTAATGATTTTTTCGAAAAACGACAATTTTGAGTGGTGATTTTGATCTCAAATTTGACCTTACTTTAGCCCCAGGCTCTTCTCTGTCTAATCACTTGAGAACAAAGTTATTTTTATGAAGTAGAAACTCCACTATAGTAGAGTCCATGGTCAGATTCATCCGGCAGCACAATTTACCAATGGAGTTTTATAGCACTTTCGAAATGCCACCTAGTCAGAGAAGTGAGCCAAAGTGGCTTTTGAAATATCTTATCACACCCAACTTTTGTTTCACACCCAACTTTTGTTTCACACCCAACTTTTGTTTCACACCCAACTTTTGTTTCAGCCGAATCGGTTGAGCACCACGTTTGGCCCCTGGAACACTTTCTAAGACAGGGACACTTGAATCCTCAGCGATAATTCTAACATTTAATCGCGCTATATTTGCCATCATATCTCTCGATAAAAAGTGTATTTTACAAAGTAAAACATCACACTTACTTGTGAAAGCTAACGTAAACCGGTGAACAATATTTTAAATGAATATGTACACATTCATAAACCCCACTGAGAGAACACGCATTGTTTTTGTCGGCAATTGGGTTAAGCTAAAAGTTTACCTTTCAACTTGTAAGCAACTTATGGAGCAACTTGATCCGTATGTTTTCTAAGCTTTATAATGACTCACCTTTCACGAGGGAAAACCTCTTCCACGATTTCAGAACAAAAGAAGTCGAGATATCTTGTTAAAATCGGTTGTCAAAGTGAAAATTGAAAAACAAATAATAATGATGAAATTAGGAGATCCTCGCAGCTAAGAACACTACTGAAACGAGTAGTTGATAATAGGACCTGAAAAAAATTCAGGCCCGTACGGGATTTGAACCCATGACCTCTGCGATACCGTTTTTTTCAGGTCCTATTACAACTACTCGTTTCAGTAGTGTTCCTAGCTGCGAGGATCTCCTAATTTCATCTTTCCACCGCAGTGCAAATATGTGAATTTTCATATATCTAAAATCTAAATAATAATGATCTTCGAGTTTTTT